CTTTTCAGCAACCATCACTTTGCCTCATCCGGCTAAGCTTTAGCACCGCCCTATCAAGCCTTCCACCCATTTTAGGCGATGCTTGGGCAATGTTTTGGTTTGTTTTCCTCAAAGAGGCTTCGGGGAAAACTGATTCTTCACGATTTCCTTATCGATTTCATGGGCTCCGATTCAGGGTTTTCGTCACGTTTTCAGGTCCCGTGACGTCGAATTCGGCATAGCGAGTTTCGTCGGTTTTGCCACAACACTACGAAGAACAACGGAAACTTCAAAATATCTAATGAATATATGATAAAATTTTCATCAGGCCACTGGTACTCATGCTCAAAATTCAAGCTTTTACTATAATTTATTATAACATCTATGAATTAACGTGGATCTAGGTAATTGTATCGCTGCGGTTCCATAATTATTATTGAAAAATCGGAAGAGAAAGTAAGTAATGCTAATTTTTTTTTTTCTTATTTATACGAATGTAATACGTCATCAGTTATTGATCACTGTAACGAGTTTAATAACCGACTGCATTAAGAACAGACCTAAGTTATTTTTCAATCGGTGGAGATCGAAAAATAACACGTGTTAATTGAATTGACAAATTTTGTGATCGACGCAGAACAGCGATAACGGCATGTTAAAAATAGGCAATGCATAACGATCCGCGATGTATAGGGTCACGAGGCCCAATCAGATGCCAAGAATTGCGCAGACACATTAACGTAAACCATACACTACGTACTTTGTACTACGTTCCTGGTATATAATATTTCAAAATTTTTTTATTTGAAAAAAGTTTTTAAATATGCCTTTTTTTGCTTGCCATTCGGTCCTATTTGCTTGCCTTATATAACAAGAAGCAACTAATTTAATTTGCTAACCTTATGTATTTTATATCATTAGAAAATTATTATTCATCGTGACGCATCGCACACCCTATAATTAAATCAAAACAATCGGGTTAAAGCTTAGATTAGGATTCGGGTAGGAAGATCTTTTAAATTTGCATGGTATTTTTTTCGTTAGGATAAATAAGACAGTTTTATGGACAAATACAAAGTTAGAAGCGATTTTTTAAAAATCGTAATCGCTTCGGTTTTCATATTACACTTGATCCTGCATCCTGATTGGTCAACTAGGGTTTCGGAGTTTCGGATTATAGTTTCGGGAGTTTTGGGTTTCGGGGTTTCGATTTTTTTAAAAAAATCCGAACCTAGTTTCGGGTAGGTTTCGTTTCGAGGCCAACTCTAGTGCATTAGTAATAATTAAAATTATTCGCAAAATCATTTTAGCTAAAATTTTTGATAAAATATTGTAATTATTAAAATTAAATAATAGAAGTTTAAGAAATTTTAATAGTAGAATATAGTAAATTAAATATAATTTTACTTATGATTATTTGTACACGCGCCTAAAAAAAATTAACGTGGCTAATGGAACTGACTAGTTATAAGAATTACGTTTTTAGTTTTAGTGTGACAGTGTCAAACAAGCTACATTATGTAATTACGTGTTATATATGTTGTTTTGGATTGATTTCTTGCTTATTTGCATCAAAATTTGATTATCCCAGTCAGTGTTGTCAATGACACGGACGTGGACATGGACATATATAAATATGGATGCCCATGTCCATGAACATATAAAAATATGTTATGTCCATGCCCATGGACATTGGTCATTGTGTCCATGGACTGTCCATGTCAAATAATTTGCTTGGACATGTCCATGTACAACACTGATCCCAAAGTTATATCGTCTAAAGTTGGTACATTCGACCATCGATATTGTTCCAATCTACTTATTCGGCTCCCATATATTTATGGTTCATTATATTCATTATGATGCGCATCTGTAAACATAAATCTATGATCATAAATAAACAATACGGATGAGATTTAGTAATTATTTATCTATTTATCTATATTCTTTTCATTCTTTTACATAAGAGGTTTAAATTTTCCTCGTACTATTCCTTTTCTTTTAGCCAATGACTAACATTCGAAATTATGTATGCGGTTAAATGGTTTCATTATATATCATGAGGGATTTGTTGAATACATTATCCAAAATCGAATATGTGAAAAAAATGATATTAAGTCTTTTAGTTTCATATCGAAATAATGTTATTTTTTCAAAATTGCTTTTTTTTCAATTTATTAAAAATTTCGTAACCCGATTGTAATCGATTAAATATCAGATTTTATTGCAAAAAGACGTGACCTCTGCAAATCAATTTGTCGCGTGAATTAGGATATTCTGTAGATTTCAAGGGTCTTACCAATTTCAAATAGTTATAAATATAACTGAGAATTATTAGACAATTTAAAATCTCAGAAATCTTCCTCGTTCATCATTACAAAGATCACTGGGTCATATATTTTTGCAAAGCGTTGTAATCGATTGTCACCTCTATCGCTGATAATCGGTATAAGTGCTGTTTATTGATTGCCAATCAGACAACAATAGACAATAGTGTGCGTTAGCTACGACTGCAAAATTTGATCAAAGATTCTTCATTTTGCAGACTGTAATAGTAATAAATCGATTTTATACGTGCCGATTATCGGTTTTACTAATTTTCCCACCACTTTCTATCAAAGTGCTATAAAATTGATTAATAGCACAGATTATCAGATATGTGAATAATTAGTAGAACCAATCAGGAGTGGTGGGGAATTAATAAACTCCAGATTATCATCATCAATTATTAGTTTTTGCCGATCAATGGCTATCAATTCATCATCCTGTTAAAAAATTTGAAGTATCAAAATGCAGATTATTAGATTAGAGTACTTGTAAAAATATCGGAGAACCTAATAATAAATTGGGATTTGGGTTTTGAATTCATTTAGAGAGTAAATAATAAAGTATAAATAAATAATAGAATATATCTGTATATAGTGAATAAATAAATTTGCGTGTTTGAGGTCGAGATCGTCGGAGGATAAATAGTTTAAATTACTGCACCTTCCATAAACGCACGCTCTATGTAAAATCTCTTTAAATGCACAATATAGTCTGGCCCCAGCTTATAATAGCACTATATATTTTGATCTCTCTAAATGTACGCCCTCTCTAAGTGCATATTTTTGAATTTTTTTACCATGTTCCTGAGGGAGTGCATTTAAGGAGGTCTCTCTGTATTAATCGTTATTAGGCAGTCATATTATTATCTATCTAGTTTTATAGGAGGACCTTCGTAGGATTGGCTGCTGTAAATCAATTGTCTGGGTAACTTATTTTATACACTTTAAAGTACTTTTGATAACATACGTTTCACCAATAAAAATATCATTTTTTTTGCCATTAGCTTCGCAAGAGCGTAAATACTCATTGTGCAAAAAACAATCGGAACTTCACTTAGAAGACAAAAATGTCTGCCATTTATTGGACTATATCAAGTTATACTGTAGAGTGAAGGTAACTAGACGTGTTTTTGCCTAAAACTATATTATTATGTTAGATTTCAAATAAATTTTTATTACTTCCATTTAATTTGAATAGGTACAAGCTCTTTAGTAGTGGAGGACTCGAGTTTAATATTTAAATTTGGTCGGTTTTTGTAGTGTGTTTGGGTTTGTCAACTGTGAATTTAAGTTTGGCTTATATTTTGTAGATTCTTTATGGGCTTAGTGGTTGGAACCGGGTTTATTTTTTGTTAACCGGTTTTAGCAGCTTTTTAAAAATCAAAAACCGAATATAAACCGGTTATATTATATCCGGTTAAATCCGATTAATCGGTTATTTTAATTCGGTTGAATTCGATTAATCGGTTATATTAATCCGGTTGCATTCGATTATAGCTATTAACATAATTCCTGGGACACCTGTGAAAATGGGCCGAGTGATTTTTCGGCCGATCCGGTTAAGTAATTGATTTCGGCATGATCCGTATAATAAAAATAATAAAAGCTATTTTGTATCATAATGATTATTTTGCGATCGTTGTAACAATAATGTCAACATTATTAAATTTTCGTTCGAATACTTGCCCAACATGCTTGGTGTGCTTAGTTTGTACGAAAATTTATGGAAAAGACTGCTCTTGTCAACCAATAAACCTTAACAAGAAATGTAAAAAAGGATCCGAATATAAATTAGGCTTTTATAGCAAACACATTACACGAACAGGTGCCGCTTTAAAAAAGCTAAATATGATTCTGAATTTGTCGATTGGTTTAAAAATAAATCTTGGGTTAAGATTCCACGTGACCAAGACTTTATTAATATATGTCGAGAATGCGTGAAGAGTTATGATAAGTGAAATCAAAGTAAAAAATTTTATATATTTATATTATATATTATATTGAAAAATTAACTTAGTACTAATAATTAAAATTTATTCGAAAGGGGATCTGAAATCAAATGAATGTAATGAATGTATTGAAAGTACTGAAACGGTGGATTTAACGATTAAAGATTCTTTTATTAAAAGTACTGAAATGGTGGATTTAACGATTAAAGATCCTTTTATTGAAAGTACTAAACCAGTGGATTTAACAACTAAAGATCCTTTGGATTGTTTAGCTGTAGATAGTGTAGAACTACCTGATTTATCCGATTTACTTAAAGTTACGGAAGTTGGTAGCATGAAAGAACCTGAATCAGAAATTAGTAATTTGAAACCATCTGAATCAGGAATTATTAATGTAAAAAATTCTGAATCAGAAACCATTAATGTAAAGGTGCCTAATACAGGTAAGATACATATAATTTTTAAATACAATATTTATTTAACATATTTTTAAATTAACTAATTATTTAATATTTTATTAATATTAGTTTTTATTACATTGGTATGCTATGATCGGTTTGAAAAATCACATAAAAAACTGGACTGGGCATTAGCAATTTTATATGATTTTGACAAGATCAAAAACTTCAGAAACATTGAAGAAGAAATCTTATCTCGCACACTTCCCGAACAATGGGGAAAAATTGAATTGAGTCGCATTTGTTATCAAATTTAAAACACATCTAAAGCAGATCATTATGATTTGAAAGCTGATGGTGCTATTGCTGCATTCATTGCTGAAATAAAATATAGAAAAAGCATTCAGTTATGTATTTATTGAGAAAGTGGTGAATTTAACAGAGCAAATAAAAGAATTCGTGTATGTTATTTATATTTTATTTAATAAAGTCTGCAATTATTTTATTTATTTATTTATTTATTTATTTATTTATTTATTTATTTATTTATTTATTTATTTATTTATTTATTTATTTATTATTAGACACTTGAAACTGAATCAGATACGATTAATGAATTAAACATTATTAAAAAAAAAATTTATGAAAATCTTCTCTTGTACTATACATATTCAAGGATGTTTAATCTCTGATAATGGTTGATACTTAAAATTGGATAGTGATATTATAATATTATGGGCTCGTGCAATTGTAATATTTTAATATATAATTGTAATTTATTATATATATATTATTTATAAATATATTTTTTTTAAATTAAGCTAATAAAAATGCTAAATGTCGATGAAAAAACTCCACCAAACATTCTGTCTTTTGATAAAACTAAATATAAATATCCAATATCTAAATGACCTTTAAACAATAATAGTAATATATTGAATGAAGGTATATAATATTGTTTTAATTTAAATTTTTTATTTATTTTT